TAAAAAATAAGGGTGAAAATTATAGTCCGTCCATACATTTTAAACATTAAAGACAAGTACATTAATAGAAGAGGAGTTCAATAAAATTTTTCTTATTATGATAAATTTTCGAAAGACCCAAAATATAGCCAAAAAAAATGTTAAATTTTACTTCACTTATGATTTAAATATCCAATGCATTGACTTGAATAAATATATCGATGCACATGCTCGGACAGTTAAACGATAAGATGAGCAGAATTAGCCGGTGAGACGAGAATCGTTGAATTTTACCGACTTCAACTTGTATTCATTTACTGATTCAATCCTATTATATACGACTTGATGGAATTAATCCATGTTGTTGAGCACTTCTTTACTTATCTACTACTAGGTCTACTACTAGTAGAATTGTCTAAGGGCGGCCTAGAAGGTACGAATGTTACAACATTACTTAGGGAACTTCATGACTATATTATGATTTATCTTTAATCTTTGCCATCCTTTATTGGAGCTTGTGGTATGAATATAATTGCAACTTCTACTCTATTGCAAAATGATCATATTCTAATACTCTATATCCATCTAAATTTATTATATTTTGCATAATATAGTTACCTTATAATGTTACACATGCACTACGTACTTACTTGCACAAAATATCTTAATTGTCCGATTTGTGGTTTAAGAGAAAAAAGAGAAAGACTAAGGGCTTGTTCTGATTTACTAAACTGAGCTGAATTGAACTGAACTAAAATGAATATTTTATGAGAGAAGGTTATTAAAAACTGAACTGAACTTATTGAAGCTGAACTAAACTGAATTTAAACGGAAATGAATAGAACATGCCTTAATTCAAGATAAACACGTCGTATAAATAAACTCCGAGCTTAGAACAAGTAAACAAATATGAAAATAACTAAAATTAAAGCGTACTAGAGTAAATTATGTTCATATGATGTACTACTCCCTCCCTTAATCCTTATGCTGTTTCAAATTACGTCAATTAATTTGTTGTTTCTCATTAAATTAAATGTATATATAATTTCATCTCATGCTAATTATACTCATTCAATTTAAAGTAAGAATTCATCTCATGTTAACTGTACTCATCCAACTAAGAATTCAAAAAAAAAATGATGGAGATTAGATGTGAAATTTTAAATAATGAAGGGATAATACAATATTTTAACGAATTTAAAATATTTCACTTAATTTATGTACCCTCCTATTCACATGTGGACTATTTTATTTTTGTGACAGATAGATGAAGTATCAAATTCGATACTGTAATACTTATCTTAAGTCAACTAATATATAATTTTAATCTTATCAGTATAAATCTTTAATTAATCCTGAAGATCTTTATTTTATTATATAAAACAATAAACTTCCACACTAAAGCATCTCATGCTTCGTACCAATTTTCCTCCTTCTTATATTTTCTCAACAATAATTGAAGAAAAAAGAGGTGATGCATTAAGTAGCTAGAAAAAGTGCATTTACATGATCTTCGTACAAAAAAGAAAAGAAAAGAATGATACGGAGTACATTATTAAAATTAAATTATTACAAAAAATACATAAAAATAAAAAATAAAAAAAGCAAATCTTATTCTAACTACATAAATTTTGTTACGCCGTATTTTTATGATGTACTTGTATTTTTCCTTTGTAAAAAGTTTCCACTATAGCCGTACCAAAACGTGATTTCATTATATTGCGCAACAGTCTTACTTACGTTGAAGCTTCGTTGAGGCAAGAAAGGTAATCTCATATAATTATAAGTTTGACTCTACTACTTTATTACATAAAAGGCAATAAAATGTTGCTTTCATAAATTCATACTTTATCCTATAAACTTTTTGACTATTTTTTCTTGCCGTTCAATTTCCATTTGATACTTGGTAATCACTCACTTAGGAGTATTAGTCTAATAAGTACGCCCATTGTTTTTAAAAAGCGGCTTATGTAACTGATTACGCTTAATTGGTGGCTTATGTAACCTATTACGGAATAATCATTGATTTTCATGAATTAAAGTATTAAAACCTATTTACCTATTTTTAGTGTCTTTTCCATATTTATGTTTCACTTTTCATAGCACTAATAATAAATATTCTAAGACTTCTAACCTAATCCATTATATAACCTTTATTTCGTCAAAATGATAAGATTCTCCCTCGTTTGCTATTACATTGTTAGTGAATCACGTAATATGTGTCATGTGTGTATTTAACGTTGTTCTTCCTTAATTTTTCTTATATCAGTCGCAAAACATAAAACTAAGGAATAAAAACAGTGGATTATAAGCGAGGATAATACAGCTTAGTAATGTTTGTTAAGTGTCGGGGAAATAAGGTGCAAAAGTCTCATGACAAACAGCTATTTGTAAAACTGGCTTAATTAGTTGGGTGGTTTTAAGTATAAAGAATAGTGTAATTAATATTAGGAGTCCCATGGTTTAAGTAGCGTGTCTTGCGACCTATATCACGTGAAAGTTATCCCTCTTTAGGTTAGTGGTACCAATGGATTAGCGCGTTACATGTTGTTATACCATGAAATACATGTACTACTTTAATTTTTTTTCTGTTTTATGCGTTACGTGTTCAAATTAATTTAATTAATACACTAAAATGTGAGTTGCAGAGAGTGAGTGTGAGTACTGAGGGTGAAGGATCCAAGCTATATATTGGAAGTTGGAACTCGACAAATATAAGTGTTTGTGCAATTTTGTAGCTTGTCATTTAGGACATTAATGTTAGGATCGGATCCATCGATAGTTTTTAATTATGCGTTATGTATGGTTGTATATGAGCGATTTTTAAAATGGGATTTTCTATTCGTTTTATATAAATGTATTACAGTATGAAATGTAATGTTTAGAGTTACGATACATTTATCAGGTGTTTGTCTTTACGTTCTAGAGAAAATATAAAACAAATAAATGTGTGTCTTATGTGGAAAGTTCTTTGTTATCTAAAAAATTGAGCAAATTTGTTGGAATTTATTTGAAACTAATATTATTAATTCATTGATCGGTTGAATTTTATGATGATATTTACAATAAAAATTTGATTTTAATGAATACTCCTTGCCAAATAAATTAAATAAGGGTATGTTCATATTTACTGAACTAAACTGAACTGATTAGAGCTGAACTGAACTCAACTGAGCTGAACTGAAATGAATATTTTATGAGAGAGAGAAATTAGGAGCTGAACTGAACTGAACTGAAATTAAGTAAATGTGAACATACCCTAATTTTTGTTCAACAAACAAACTACAGTTCACATTTGAAAGTTTATTTTGCCCTCAATCATGTAGTTGTTCCATACATAGTTCCTCAAGAAGTTAAAGTTTATCAAATACTCTTTATATGATTAATGCTTTAACATAAATTATGAATTGAAGATAATTATTTTTTTTGAAATGCATATGAAATTAATCTAACATGCCATAGTTTATATTTTTCAATACATAGTGTGTATGTATTCCTATAGTTGATTTTGACACCCAATTAAAACAAATATTAAAAAAAAAAAAAAACAAATCATATTAAAAATGTTTACAAGTCACCTATTTTATCATGATAACATTATTTAAAAACACAACCTCTTATTGTCTATTAGGCCATTAAATAAATTTAGAGTGAACAGAATATCGCCCCGTTTTAAATAGTATAGTCTCGTACTCACATGTATATATATACCTTAGTTCATGCATGCAAAATGCTAAAATATATTAAAATTCATGATTAGGGTCTGTTCACATTTACTTAATTTCAGTTCAGTTCAGTTCAGTTCAGTTCAGCTTCAATCAGTTTATCAGTTTAGTTTATAATTTTCCTCTCTCTTACAATATTCATTTCAATTCATTTCAGTTTAGTTCAGTTCAATCCAGCTCCAATCAATTCAATTCAGTTCAGTTCAGTAAATGTGAACATGTCCTACATCATTGTTATATAAAAATTCCCTGGCATGCAACATTAGCAAAATAAATCAAACTTTTTTTTACTTTTAATATTTTATCAACATATAACCACTAATTGAAGGTATATCAACCATTTAGCTGAATAAAATTACGGACCTACATGATGGATTTAGGCAATTTAGTAATTATGTTTAATATTGAAGAAGAACTTAAACTTTAAATCTCATTTAGTAATCCTAAACACGCACATAATTACGTGCTAGAACTTAATTTTTGAAATCTTTGATCACATATGCTATATAAGTACAAAAAAAAGTGTGTGAACAATCAAAACTTAAAATTTGTAAGAAAGTTCTACAGTTTCAACCCTTATCTTCTTGGTAACTTCTCTGTTACATCATCTACATAATTATATCCTTTGTCGTCAACTCTCCATACGTTACCATCACAGAATAGTAAATACCCAAAATATCCAAAAAAAAATTCCCTAAATTGTTTTTCCCCAGTTCGTACTGTAGACATAATTACTTAATTGAATTACTTAATTAGTAAGTACAATTATTTATTGACCAGTAACAGCCAAATAAACACCCTAATACTCACAATAACTTAATGATGTGTCAATGTGTCAAATATGCGAAAATATAAATTTACTCCGTATATAAATGTGCATGGTTCAAATTAAAGAAACCATCAATATTTTGTTCCGCTACTTTCCCAATTCTTTTTTAGTTGACACAGATTTTTATCATGTTTACCAATGATTACTTTTAACAATTAATATCTATAATTATTATCAACACTTAAAAGTTTGCACCAAAATATAACATGTAAAGTTATAAACAGTTAATATCACTCCTTATTAAATTTATATTGAGACAATTTAAACACAATTCCATATATATTACTCGTAATATGAGTAGAAAATACTCGTATGATTTATCATTGAGAAGTTTGTGAAAAGTGTTAACTAGCTAGACTGTTTGTCAACTAAAAAAATACGAGTAATTTGTATGGAGTATGAAGGAAGTTTGTCTGTGAAATGTACTCCGTACAGAGTAATGTCAAAAATCAAAATGTATAAAAATACTCGTATTTCCTATAGAGTACGGAGTAGTATTTAATTTATGTATTAAAATTTAAAATCCAAAAAAGAGTAATGCTAAAAAATCTCTACTACAGTACATACGACTTTTACTGCTAAACAAATTTCGATTACATACACCCTGGCGTCAACTTATTTCCAGCTTGTCACTATTTCCTCACCCCACCCCACCCCACCCCACCCCTCCTTCCTCCTCACGTCTACTCTTCTTTTCTCTCTCCTCCATTCCTTCCTCTATATATACCCCCCTTTCTCATCTTTCCCTCATTACCATTCATTTCCCAACTCAAAAAAAAAAAAAACAACATTTACAAACCTTTGAACATTTTATTGTACTACTACAATTACAACAACTAAAAGAGAGAATTCATTGTGATAACAATCTTATTATACAATTATGGGTATATGTTCGTCTTGTGAATCGACCTCGGTCGCAACAGCAAAGCTTATACTAGAAGATGGAAGACTAGAAGAATTCTCCTACCCTGTTAGAGCTTCATATCTTCTTTCCAAGGATCCCAATGTGTTCATTTGTAATTCCGATGAGATGGATTTTGATGGATTTGTTTCCGCTGTTCGGGCTGAAGACGAGCTTCAGCCCGGACAGCTTTACTTTGCGCTACCATTGGCTAAACTTAGCCGTCCCCTTCACGCGGAGGATATGGCGGCGCTCGCTGTTAAAGCGAACGCCGCTCTTTTGAAGAGCCGCGCTGCGGGGAAGTGCGGCTGTCGGAAGAAGGGTGGGTTTTTCGGGGGTGGGGAGAAAGAAGAGAGATCTTCTGCCAAAGTAGCGGACATAGGGTCCGCTGCTGGCAGAAGAATGAAAAATATTGGGAACCGGAATCGGAACCGGAGTAATGGGATTAATGGGATTAATGGAAGGAGAATGATTTCTGTGGGTAATTTAAGCGCGATTCCTGAATAAATTGGAATGCAAATCAAAATTGGGAATGAGAATTTTAGATTAGATTTGTGTAAATAGGTTGATTAATTGTAAAATTATTAGATGATTAGTGGTTCAATTTACCAATTTTGATCATGGATGGTTTAGATTAGCCCACAATTTTGTTCGTTATTGGATTAATTTAAGTGAAATTACTCAAGTACTCAACTATTTGATTATTTTGTCGTATATATGGTTCATTTTCCAGAATTACGGGAATTTTGATTAGTTTACTATAGTAAATTACTAAAATGGAAACTGCATATTCTAATGAAACTTTTCTAACAACTTTTTGAAAAGTCCTTGGACAGTTGGAATAGTTGCAAGATTATTCACATAAACATAGCATTAACTCGAGTTTAAGACGTTCGAAATTCAAAGTTTACCTGTAGATGATATAGTATTTAAGTCCTTTCGAGTTATGATGGTTTATTTTAGCCAATCACAAATTATTACGCGACTAACTTTTATTGTTGTTATTAATGATACGGAGTATTAAATTGGATTTAATTTTAGTATATTTATATTTTGCCAAACTGGAAAGGGGACCGAAAAACAAAAAGAAGGGTATTTTAGAATACAACATGCATTATTCTTGCCTAAATTAACGTTACCGGCAATGTATTAAAACAATTTACTCAATTCTTAAGCTAATGATAAACTCAAAAACTATAAAATAAGTATAGTTTCAATGATTATTAAGAACGATTCATATATAATAATACACTTGGTTTATAATATTAACTTAATTAAGAATATATAATCGTATACTAAAAAGACGATAAATGCATGTTATCGATAGTTACAACTTGTAATTAATGATTAATGAAATCATACATTAGATACACATAATGCCCGGACCACCGATTGTACCCTGGCCCCCTCTAATCCTCTATGCATGTAATTAGGTAATATATCCAACATGGTGGACACATTATTTGACAAATGCTATAGATTAATAATTAACATACCTAATAACTTTAATTTCACTTAATTAGCACACCTAATAATATCTGGTAAGTAGTTATGGTTGAATGCATGTTCACATGCAATTCGTTATTGTTAGAAATATTCCGGCCAATTACACAATATAAAAGGAAGAAAATGTAATCGGTTGAGATCATACATGTGGTCACTGATTTACTGTAAAAATTACTCCCTCCGTCCTTCAAAATTTATCCCATATTTCGTTTTTCACATTTTCAAGAATCATGCGTAAATTTATGATTTTATGCACATAAATGGACATAATTTTGATATGAAACAGGAACAAGTGTAATTGCAAGTGAAAACATTTCTAAGGGCTTGTTCTGATACGATTATTTTCAGTTCAATTCAGTGCAGTTCAGCTCTAATAAGTTCAGTTCAATTCAACTCTAATAAGTTCAGTTCAGTTCAGTTCAACTCCTAATTTCCTTCTCTTATAAAATATTCGGTCCAGTTCGTTCAGCTCTAATCAGTTCAATTCAGTTTAGTTGAGTTCAATTCAGTTTAGTTTAGCTCTAATAAGTTCAATTCAGTTCAGTTGAGTAAATAAGAACATACCCTAATTAAAAATAAAAAACAAAGTATTTTATTGAGTAGAATGAAACGCTAAATAAAATTATTTGTCATGTTTTTATATTTTGGTGGAGCTATTGGATAACTCTTATTTGGTGAGGCGGTTATAAATGCAATTCAAATTGAACTCTTGTATTTGAGCTGGAAGTTCAATATGAATTTACAAACCCTTTGTTCGACAAATGTAGTTGCATACCTGAATTGTTAACTTCATTTTTAATAGTAGTTATTAACGGTTGTATATTAGATTTTAGCATGCAATCTAGTTTATACTATAATTGACTTAAATAAGGGGCAATGAATATATATATAGTCAAGTATAATTCCATCACTTGATTTACTGAACTGAACTGATTGAAGATGAATTGAACTGAAATGAATTGTTTATGAGAGAAGAAAATTAAAAGCTGAATTGAACTGAACTGAAATTATGCTGAAAAGAACGAACCCTAAGATCAGATTAGCAACCCCTTCAATTTACTTCGTATACTAGTAAAGTTTTTAATCCTCTCATCTTTCACTAATGTGGAAGTGTGGAACACTTACATGTGTTATTTAGGAGGATCATACCTCAAACATGCAATCTAATCTAACAAAAAAATGAGAATATAAAGATATTTAAATAAGATACTTACCCTACTGGCTACAGCTACTGATCTAGCTCAATATCTAAGAGTAAGATTCGAATTCCAACGTCTCAATTCATTCACAATAAAATCTACTCCTACTTGTATAATAATTTGTATTATCGATCGTCCTATACTATGCTACAAAGCTACTGGTACATACGACATACTCAAGTAGAAAAAGATTGGTACAAGAGCATTAAGTTTATTCCCGAAAATAGCAAAATAAGACAAATTATAACGGGACCATTGCAATTTAGCATTGCCAATAAATAGTATAGCAAATTCTTGGAATTGATGATGAATGACTATCACTGTAAAAAACCGAACCGAACTGGTAAAATCGAACCGTTTCAACCGATCCGAATGAGAACCGAACCGATTAAAAATCGATTTTATGAAACCGAAAATCGACCCGAACCGCATGTTAGTAAAACCGAAACCGAACCGATCCGAGTAAACGTTAAACCGTTTAAGAACCGAACCAAATCTAAACCGAACCATTTCTAACCCGAAACCGTTTAAACTGGCATAAAAACCGTTTACACCGGACCGTTAACAAACTGCAACCCGTTTGCACCGAACCGTTTATAAATCGAACTGATTATAAACCAAACCGCTTATAAACCGAACCGTTTATGAACCGAATCGCTTATAATTCGAACCGTTTACAAACCACTTCCTACTAGGAGTATTTTGAACGACTCGATAAAAATCCGATTTTTTTAAATAAAAAACAGACCCAAACCGTAATTTAGTAAACCTAAAATAAAACTAATCCAAATAATGTTAAATCGTAGAAGAACCGAACTCGTTAACAAACCAAACCAGTTATAAATCGAACTAAAATAAAACTGAACTAAAAAAGAACTGAACCGTTTCTAACCGGGAGAAAAACCATTAACAAACCGCAACCCGTCTGCACCGAACCGTTTACTACCCGGACCGTTTACAACCCGAACCGTTTACAACCCGAACCGAATTTAAACCGGGATAAAAACCGTTTACACCTAACCGTTAACAAGCCCAACCCGTTTGCACCGAACCGTTTACTACCCGAACCGAATTTAAACCGTTCAAGAATAAACCGAAACCGAATCGAACCGATAATTATTTAAACCGAACTGAAACCGACCCGTAAGACATTCGAACCGATTTCAAACCGACCCGATTTCAAACCGAACCGAAACCGAACTGTCAAATCGTTTTGACAGTACTATGAATGACGAACGATGAACTATTACTAGTAGATTATTATAGTGGATTCCAGCTTTCTTCAACGTATTATGGACTTGAATTTAGTTTATATGAATTGAATCATTTGAGTTCGTCCTATTTTCATTTGTATAAGCTGGCATGCTGTAGACTGTAGTCACGGACTTTTATGTTTACGTACATTTTATCTTTTGCTTTTTATTTATCACGAGTACAAAAGATTAATCAACTATGGATGGATCGGACTAGTCGGAGTAGATATTGGATAAAATTAGGACTGTTTTATTGATCAATTGGATAGACCAGTTGGTGTACAAGGGTCTACATCATCATCATGTAAACTACAATAGGGTAATGCTATTGGTTCTTACTATTGTACATGATTAAGACGGTTCAAGAGAAACTGATAGAGTATAAACCATAAACCTGGTAAGCTTTTGGTTGAGGCCCAAGATTATGTTTCATTCTCTATCACGCCCCCTTGCACGAGAGCCCGTTGGGTTTAAAGTGTGAATGCAGCATGGGTCCTCTGTATAACCGCTCACATTAAGTATCACTTAGGCTAATAGTAAGTATTGTATCTCATTAAGTCATAACGTTGTGGGATCAATTCCTACCGAAGACACTTGAGCCATCATGCATTTCAAATTTAAAGGCATTGTGTGCTCAACTCATTTAGATTGGCATGTGTGAGATTTTAATTTGATACAGCGTATTTTCTTTCTATAGGAAAAACTACTAAAAAATATTAACTGGTGGCTAGTTTATTACTACCTCCGTTACAGATTATGTGCAACGATTAGACATTTTCCCTCTCTGCTTTATGTCAAATCGTTGCACATAACCTATAACGGAGGTAGTATGAATCAAAATAATTTCGCGAGTAAATAACGTAAGTAACCTCTTAGGTTGGCTGACTTGAGCATCCTCTACAACATTATACGTACATTTTCCTTTGCAATGTAAAGTAGACACAAGCTATGAAATTGTTTGCGTTCCCCTTAATGAAAAAAAAAAAATGGGAAGACAATTAGACAAATGTGGGTCGAAAGCATGTCTAAATCTTTGAATTCTTTGGCTAGATGACCAACATTTACAAAAATGCTTGGTACTATAGAACATTGATAATCAATAATCAATATGCATGGGTATTTTGAGTAGGTGGCTTGTCTCCAATTGTCATTTATCAGCGTCTCATCACTGCTTCAGTACTATTTATGATTTTATGTGTGTGTCTTATAGCTAGCAAATAGTGTTTATTTGCACATTAGTATTAGCTCTATTTATGTATTCATTGAATTATGCTCTTGTCCATTACATATAATAATAACCTTGTAATTATAACAGAAATAAAACGTGACAACACTAATATAATCTTTAAGGACAACTAGGCCCTTTTACATAACATGGAGTTAATATTAGCAAGCTATTAATTTTAGTTTTATAAAACATCTTAAATTATTTATGAGTTACCAACTACGCAACTAACTCAAACAACCAATGTAAACATGTTTATGAAGTTCTTACACCGTTTACAAGGATAAGAGAATGAGGTCGAAACTTAATATCCGAGTGAGAGCTGTGATGCACAATGTAGAGGAAAAACATCAGAAAATCAAAACGTCAAATCTACACAACATTGCGTGGATTGAGAACAACATCATATCAAACATCAAGTATAGTTCTAAAACTGATCTATCTCAAGCTGGTCCATAAAATTATACGAGTACAATTACCATATTGCTCTCAAAGACCGGACCCATTCATAAGTTTTTGTGTTAAATTCAGTCAATTAACGTGCCCTTTAATTTCTAACAAAAACAAAATCCAAATTATCCGTATGATACAAGTACTGTACATAATTTCTTTGAATCTTCATTGTATAAGCTTAATTAAGAGCCTCAAACTTACGGTTTCTTTGAATATTCCTCGAAAGCCTATGATTATGTGTGGAGGAAAATTAGATTCTTCAAGTTGTAAAAATTCTCTTGGATATCATTACATGTAATGTGAACATATATAGTCAAGATTTGTTGTTTTTTGTTGATAGTTAAGGGTTTTTTTTGCTATTGTTTTGGAATTTTACCTTCTCACTCGTTAGGAATGTGATAGAATTCCTCTCAACAAGACAACCACTTTTATTGGTTACATACAAAAGGTTCAAAAATCGACTTTTTAAATCATTTTTTTTTTGTTTAAGTTTGTACAGAGTATGAATCTATTATCACCAAACAACAAATATAAGCGTCCTATATTAATCAAAGAAGATGATATAATTCCAGAGTATTTCATAAAGATAAAGACCTATTACTTCTTTAAAATAAAACATATTCCTGGGCTTCAACCATCAGCTTAAGCTTTTGGTTGAGTTGGTCCCAACACAAATGATGTACATGTAACTACTATTTGTAATTAAAGTGTGATGGATAAAATTGAGAAACTGTCAATAACTTGAATAAATGACTTGAATAAATGGACTAATAAACTATATTAGGGGTTAACTTTTCCCACAAATTTGTGGACCAAAGAATTTGTTGGGCCGTGGTCATATTTCAATATTGATCACTCCAGCTGTAGTTCATCCTTTATAACACAAAAGATAACACAAAAACTGCGTAAGAAGTATTAAAACCCTAGCTAGAGCAGTTAAAGATGCAACACAGAATTTTCTGTAACGAAAGGGCTACTCATGAAGTCATGACAGTGATGACTGATGTGGAACCGCGGCTCATCCTAGACCATTATAACATATATAAAATCAATGACATGGAAAAACAACTCTAGTCACATACTCTTATTTGTGATTAATTGATTACTTTTCTTGACTCTTGTATGATAGTATCCATTATCCTGTAATGTATATCCCTACTTGTATCATTCGGGGCCGACTCAAAGATTATTGGGTGTGTATTAAATACAATTGGTCACTCGATTGGAGTCGTCTTAGGTGATCCGTGTAGGAATATGAATGAATTATTATGAGCTGGATTTCCGTCGAAACAAAATATAAAAATTAAAACACGTAATATCATTCAAATGTGGGTTCTCCTATAATTTTGTCGCTTTGGCGACGATTGATTTGAAATAATCTTAGCCCTCAACCCCCCTTACCAACCCACAACTCAAGGCCACAAAGCGAAGCCAATGCATTAAGCGAGCTCCCACATCTAGACGCGCAGGGCCATGGAGTGAGCCCCGGCTTCTAGATAGAATATATCATTGATATATGAATTTATTGCTAAACACCTAGAGAAAGTAGCACACTACACACCATACATACATGATTCAAAATCATTGAATTGGACCTGATAATGATGTGTCCTTCAACCTGGATAATAAACAACATGATTGTGGGTCTTGCAAATTAAAATCAAAGGAATTTGTGGTTCTTAAAAGTTGTAATTAAGAAGCCAGCTAATTTTGTAGGCACCTGATTCCCACCATCAGACTAGTATGTTAATAGACCTTTGTCACCAAATGAGGAAACTAGATTAAATTCTTGGTGGTTTAGACTAGATAGAAGAGTAAAATTTCTATCCATTAGTTTTTTCCCATGAATGAAACATTTAATTTTATAGGGTGTGGAAGATATTGTTTTGCTAAATACAGAAAATCAAATTTTCAAAGGAAGTCCCATTTGTTTGGCCCTTGCTCTCTTGATTGAGTGGAGCTAATAAAGTTAAACTAAACTGCATTGAAACGATTAAATTGAACCAAAATGAATAGAACTAAAATGATGTCTAAATTGAACTAATAAATGGAGTTGAGCTGAATTGTGTTGAACCAAAAGCTTAAGTTGATGGTTGATATCTAGGATTATATTTTTTTTGCTCTATCAGTATGCATAATAATTGTGTCTGTTTGAAAACCTTAATGAAGTTACAATAAAAATTATACATTGTTGTTCCAAAAAAAAAAAAAAAAAAAAAAAAAAAAAAAAAAAAAAAAATTCCTACCATCAATTTATATAACCCCTATATGGTAAATTTGAGTAAAGTTGATGTGTACATTAATACTCATATTAATCAATGTCTCTAATTCAATTCTTGACTAAAAGAGCTCAATTCCAAATCTTAATATCTAGGGCAAGCTAGATCAATGAAGCACAATTGTACTTTATTCTAATTTATTATGAATCAAATAGTTTCAAACTCAAACAAAGAAAAATAAAAAACCAAAAAAAATTGACTGGGCCTAACCCACTTGAATGACGAACTGGTCCATGCAAAGCTATGTTAAAATCATTTTTTAAAATCTTGCTCTTATTGGACTCAACAAAAAGGGGTCGGGTCAACCCGAGTATCCCGAATACCCACCCGAAAGCCATTTTTCCTATAAATATGCTGAGTCAGGCTAATTAAGAATCTGACAATGTCTACCCAAATCGTGCAACATTAATCTAAGGAAGAAGACACACCAATATAATTATATGATTATTATTATGCAGATTAATGCTATTGAGTAAAATTCCAATCTTACAGGCAACTACTCCACTTTCATTAATTTAATCTATAATCACATATCATCAATCGTCCTTAATTACCGGCCTTAGATTCAACTCTCTGTAACACCTTAATATATATTACTACTGCTACATAATTAACGAAAATATTTCTTACAAATTTCGTATATTATTTTCTCTCAAAACTTAAAATGGGTGGATGTGCTTCGTCTCAAAGGAACTATAAAAGAAAGTCTGGTAAAAGACCGGGTGCAAAGGTGATCAAAGTGATTCATTTAGATGGTCGAGTGAAGGAGTTCGAGCCGCCTATATGTGCTGAACAGATACTGTCTTGTAACCCTAGTTGCTTCTTATGCAGTTCCGATACGATGTCTATTGATGCGTACCCTACGAATGTGCCTGAACCTGAAGAGCTTCGGCCTGGTTTGTATTTTCTGTTGTCTAAGGCTCAAGAGAATAAACCGTTTTCGCTTGAGGATTTGTGTGAGCTTGCTGTTAAGGCTAGTTCTAATCTTTCTATTCATGATCTTCAGCTGTCTTTTAGGCATTATGCTGTTGTTTGATTAGTCTTTTTTTTTTGTAGTAGTTCTATTTGATTGGACTGTTTAATTCAGATTAATTAGGATGATGTATATTATATAGTGCAGTTATGTTTAACATATTTAATTTCTTTGTATTTATTCTTTTTTTGGATCGTTCATCATAATCAGTCTTGCTATTCACCTACTCGTAATTATAAGCTCCTAAATTGCCACTAGTACAGAATAGATGACTATGTTGAGTTAAATCCAATTTTGGCTGCTATAAACCTCTTTAAATCATTGAAAATCGGATCAGAATCAGATTTATTTCCTAATGCAAGTATACTGATTTTTACTCTGTAACAAGTATGGACTAACAACTAATTTTTACAAATACAATATCCGAGTGTATAAGATGCACATGACAGTACGTACTTAAATTTGATATAGAATCTTATCAACATTTTGATCACCTTTGTTTAGTGATTCTCTTTAAATATAGCATAAATACATAATACATACAATATAATGATACAGAGTAAGCTAGATATTTTATATAAATTGATTAAATTCCTAGCTACTACTTAGTAGGCTAGTTACACTAGTTTCAACAACATTTTATTATCGGTTGTGCTAACAAGTTAAACTGATTGACCCATTTTCATTTTTAGTTCATCTAGCTCATGCAAATCGAGATTGATGATTAATTTTCTTTTAGGTTATATGACCGAGCAAGTTAATTGTACATATACCTAGTATTTGTACATATATAAGTTCGTGAAAAGTTCAATTTGTGATGAGTTAGTGTAAATTACTTAGAGGCCATGTCACCAATTGACAATATTTAACACTATAAGGCTTATAATCAAGAGATAGATGATTTTGGAATTAAATATAACTATGGTTATCTTATTTTTGCACTATTATTAAACTCTTTTAATAGAAATGAACAAATGATATGTATGTTCTTTCATTTTAGTATACATTCCCTACAAATTAAAAGTGCATACTTGTATATATTAAACTCTTTTCATTTTGATATCATTATGGAAATTTCATTTTTGTAAGATAAGAATGAAAATAAATTAGAAACTACTATCTTTCAAAAAAAAAATTAGAAACTACTAAACAATAGTAGTTCCGTATTAGTATAGTACTCTAGTAATGTAGAATTTATAATGTAATACAATACTCATCTACTCAACGTATAGTAAGTAGCTGTATTAATTAATTGATTGGTTAATAATAAACCAAGGACCATATTATATGATTAATATCTTAAATAATTGAAATTAAAAATCCAAGTAGCAAAATGGGATTTGCAAATCAAAGTCGTCGTTAATTAAAAAAATTAAATAAAAGAAACAAAATCTGAAATCCCCAACCTAAATCAGCTGGCATGTTTATCTGTCACGCCTAGTAACACACGCTCGGGAATCAGCTCACGTTCACATTTATTTTTTGCATTTGACATTGTTTTTGATTAGGCAACGACATCTTACTACATTTGAATTTTTGATTAAGGCCCTGTTTGGTTTGATGTAAAATGTTTTCATGGAAAATGAATTTTTCATTTTTTCTCATTTTCCTTTGTTTGGTTTGTTAAGGAGTGGAAAACAATTTTTCAAGGGTGGAAAATTCCATCCTTAATGATGGAAAACATTTTCCTTCCAAAAACAAGGGAAGCCACATTTTCCTCTCTCCTCCTTACCTTTTTTTTTTACTTCCCTCTCATTCATCCTTACATTTCCACTCTTATTTTTTATTTTTCTTGGACTTTTCTTGTATGCAACCAAACAAAGGACAACTAATTTGCAATTGTCTTTTTCCTTGAAAATATGTTTTCCATGAAAGCTAATTTTCCATTGAAAATGTTTTACATTAAACCAAACGGGGCCTAAGGGAAAGCATGGCAGCAGCTTGCTTTTCGCCCTTACTCTTTGGAGCTACCGGATCAGAGGGGAAGGCGGTGATGACATTGACACCGCATCTGTTGTGTCCTATTTCAGCAAATTTACTTACACCGTCTCTATTTAAATGACACATTTTTTTTATAAGGTCGTTCTTATTTAGTTGATACACTTTTTTTTTCATGAGAAAGAATGATCCAATCAATGTTATATTATTTCTCACATGTTTGAGTCACTTTCTTTGTGTATTTCTATGAAAACAATTTAAAAAAAAACCACCATTTCTTACTCAGCAACGGATTCCACAAGCACAAGGCCACAACCCAGTTAATTTGCCTAAAACTCTATGGTGATCATATGGTGTCAACTAAATAGGAAGAGCAATTGGTTATGTACAAATAAGAACGACTAATCATAAATTGGGCCTGAATTTGGGCTTAAGTGAGACTAAATATGACAACGGGCTTATAAATTTGTCAATTTGGGCCTATAGAGCTAGCATTTGGGCAAATTTATAAGTTTGAAAGCACAGAATTGTAGTATTTGGGCTAGGCTAAACATCAATATTGAGTGATAAAATTTCATATGAGGTTCATGATCTTTCAAACACAATCCTCATCTCAACTGCAAATATAGTTCTATGTTGCAATCTTGCAATATTCTTAATGAGGTTTTTGTACATTTTTTGTTCCTTCTAGCACAAATACAGAAATACTACCCTATCTTTCTCCTCCGATCAGTGTAGGAAATATGAATGTAAACGCTCAGTATCAACAATAAGTTAAACAACCGTGCATTGGACAATTCAAAGATGGGCAATCTATTGATGATGAGCTTTAACTCTAATGTCTCTTATCAATTATTGTAGCTTAACCGACCTCATCCAGTATCTTATCTGTATCAAATGTTAGCTGTTACCACCTTAATATCAACATTCAGCAGGATAATCCTATAAATTATTATGATACAAAGACTTCTCATCTTCACTACAATTACTCTTAATATTATATGTTACTCCGTAGAGTTTAGACATTAGACAATCATCACTGAATATGAAACTCCTTCGATATTAAGCATTGACATTCTAATCACCTACACTAACGTTACATGCACGTGATCAAGACACAAATCTTTGAACCCCCCCACGTGATAACTCCTATATAATGTACCATCAACTTTTTCAGCACCATTTATCTTTATCACATCTATAATTCACCTTTACAAAATTACAAAAATACCCTTTAACAAAAACAAACCAAGGACAAAATCGTAAATACACCCAGACAAAAAAAATCTTATTAATATACCACTATCCTTTTATCATCATCACTTTCATCCAATAAAAACAAAATACAATGGTCCATCTTATAACCACTCTACTGATTCTCTTGTTCATCTCATCGGCCTACGCCCAAGCACCGCCACCACAACCACCGTTATCAGGCCCAGCCCAAGAATACTTAGATGCACACAACCAAGCCCGGGCCCAAGTTGGGGTGGGCCCACTCAAGTGGAGCCCAATTCTGGAAAACGCGACGGCCCGTTTAGTGATGTACCAAAGGATCAAGTTCAACTGCCAATTTGCGGACCTTAGCAAGAGCAAGATCAAGTACGGGGCGAATCAGCTGTGGGCCCAAGGTTCTTCGGTTAGGCCCAAAACAGCGGTGGACGCGTGGGTGGCGGAGAAGAAGTATTATAACCACGAGAAGAACTCGTGCGAGGAGAACCGACAGTGTGGGGTGTACACGCAAGTGGTTTGGAAAAAGTCTGTGGAATTGGGGTGTTCACAAACTAGTTGTGTTAAAAATGGGACGAGTTTGATTGTTTGCTTTTATAATCCGCCTGGAAATGTGATGGGTGAAAGCCCGTATTAAGCTTAGCTAATACAGTACTGCACTAATTAATGTATGTAATTGATGTTTTAGTGATAATAATGTACTCATATTCCATTTCTACTTTCTAGTATTAAATGGGTGTTTATGTTGATTTGTCTTTCAATTTCATCAAATCGAGAGTAGTTTTAATTTTGATTTCGTTGATTTTTGTTTAAAAAATATTATCCTCTTGGACTGTGCGTTAGATCTATCTATCTGTACATCTCTCGTGAAAAATGACTACGAGATGAATAATGCAAATCCCAGTTTTATTTTTCTGAGTTTTTTCACATTGCACTTTGGTGATTGAGGTGTATGTATTTTCCGGTGCTTTTAATTAAATTTTGGGAAAAAACTTAATCACTTCTGGTTAAAAACTTAGTTACCTAACGGGGCGTTTAAAATGTGGGAATGGGAGTTCGGGGATTAAAATGTGTGAATGAGATTGGGAATCGATTGTTGGGAATAGGAAAATTTGCAAATTGCAGCCATTTAAAGTTCGTATTTTGCAAATTGCAGCCATTTAAATTTTTTTTTGTAAATTGCAGCCCAAAAGTTCGTATAAATTGTAAATTGCAGCCCAATTCAATTTTTTCATCGGTTAACATGTTGAAAAATCTTCAATTAAGGTTTCAGGGGTCATTTTAGCCCTTAGGGGCCCGACTTGAGCTCGGAATTAGCAAAAAAATAACGTAAGTGTCTCATATTTACAGTTTCCCACAAATCGATACATTTTTGTTACGCAAAACGAGATACTTACGTTATTTTTTTGCTAATTCCGAGGTCAATTCGGGCCCCTAAGGGCTGAAATGACCCCCTAAAACCTTAACCAAATATTTTTCAACATGTAAACCAATGAAAAAATTGAATCGGGCTGCAATTTATACGAACTTTTGGGCTGCAATTTGCAAAAAAAAAAATTTAATAGCTGCAATTTGCAAAATACGAACTTTAAATGGCTGCATTTTGCAAATTTTCCTTGGGAATAGATGGGGAATAAATAACAAAAATACAAAATTACCTTTACTAATCTTTCTCCTCCATTTCTTTCATTAATGGAAAAAATGTCATTTTGCACTTATTCCCATTCCCACCCATTGATTACCTACACTCCCTAGGTAATAAAATAGTAGGAATTCACCCCATTTATTCACAATCTCATTCCCTTCTTTAATCCCAATCCCATCTAACAAACAATAGATTTTGTTTTATTTGGGATTAAAATTCTCATTCCTACTCTCAATTTCCATTTACCAAACACCCCCTAAGGCTAACCAATAGGAATTAAGCTTTTTTTTGTTTGTTGTAATCGAGGACGTCAGTTATCGAAATGACGTTTTTGCTTCTTCATTCCCCAATTTCGCGCGCTCTCCCCCTCTTCTCTTCTTTATGTACTATTTACTCCAGTGAAGACAAAAAAAGGATATTCTCCTCTTCCTTTTCATCTTCTATTCTCTGTTGGAGTGAAACCATTTCTGGAAAAACTTTACACGAACGGATCAAAATTGCATTTTAAGGTAAAATTCTAATCATTTTACACCTTTTTTTTTTGTAATTGCTTTTATTTGTTGTGTTTTGATGATGATTTGTTGATCGATTTAGGGTTTATAATGAAGTGTTTTTTATTTAAAAAAAATAACTCATGTCCCATTTGGAACATCAATAAAAGAAAACCCCCTTTCATCTTCTAATTGTTGTTATTGTTAGGTTTAATCATAGAATTATGTTTATATCCTGTCGATTTTACGTTTTTTATTAGTATTGATCGAATTTTCTGTTTGTTACTTAAGTAATTTTGTGCTTAGAAGTGATTGAGTTACATTGTTATTATCTTTGAAAAACAGAGTATTATTATTTTTGAAAAACAGAGTATTTGTTTGCATGAATTATGTGTAATTGTAGTTGTGTTAACACTATGATTATTGGGTGTTTTGTTAGGTTAGATGGATCCAATAGACGACTCTCATCATATGACGGCTCTAGAGGATGCCCCACATGCGTTATCAATTCCAGAAATTTTATGCATGTACATCTTCCCTAAGTTGCCCCCTAAAGCCCAAGGCATGTGCAATTGTGTGTGTAAGCACTGGAATGAACTATGGTATTTTAAAGCCTGGATTCCTGATTATGTTAAAGCCCAACATGAAAGTGAAAGGTGGTGGGTGGCTAAAGATATAATAAGGAATAATGGTTATGGCTTTCATAATGGGATTGTTCAAGATTGGGCTAAAATTTTGGATGGGTTGCGTTGGTTATTTAAGGATGAAAAAGTTATGTACAGCAAGAAACACTAGTAGAAAAAAAATAAAAAAGGGCACCTCCTAGTTGTCACCGATTTAATCCAAACCGGTGGCAAAAATGGCCTTAAAAACTGGTGGGAAGCTGAATCAGGATATATGGCACCGGTTCACTTCAAACCGGTGGCAAAAACATAAAGTCCAGCGGTTTAAAGTGAACCGGTGCCGTTAAATATTTTTTTTAAAAAATCGGCCCATTTAACCCCCCAACCCTAGCATATTCTCTATTTCTGTCTCCTCCTCCTCTTTCTCGATCTCCTTCTCCTCCTTTTATTTCTCTTTCTCCCTCATTTTATTCTCCCTGGTGTCCTCTTCCTTTCTTTCATTCGAAGACCACCAACATGCTACACCGTCCTCCTCCTTTCTTTCAATTGATTTCCAGGTTTTTTTTTCGATTTCAATTTTTTTTTCGATTTCAATTTTGATTGTTTTTTTTAAGTTTATTTTTTTTTTGGATTTCTGATTTTTTTTTTAAATATTCTTTTAGAACTTAACTGAAAAAATTAAACATTCGTTTAGAACTTAACTGAAAAAATGAACTAATAAAATAAAAGATCAACTCCTTTAAAAACAAGAATTTGCAAATTAATGGTAGCAATTAGATGAATGATAATAAACAAGAAATTTACTAAAACAAATCCAATATATTTCCAGCCATGTGAATTAGATACTGATCCACTACTCTACAGTTTCATGAATTGAAAACGATAATAACAATGATAATACTACACAACTCAAAAATCTAAAGTCTAACCGCAAAAATTAGTGTAAAATACATCAGATCAAAAATCAACTAATATTGAAACCACCATAAAAGATCAAACAAAAACCAAAATACAGAAATAATAATCAATTAAAAAACGAAATCAAAGAAGCAAAATTTCGTGTAATAAAGTACATCAAACAGATCAAAAATCAACTAAAATTGAAACCACCACAAAAGATCAAACAAAAACCAAAATACAGAAATAATAATCAATTAAAAAACGAAATCAAAGAAGCAAAAAATTGTGTAAAATACATCAAACAGGTCAAAAATCAACTAAAATTGAAACCACCACAAAAGATCAAACAAAATCCAAAATACAGAAATAATAATCAATTAAAAAACGAAATCAAAGAAGCAAAAATTTGTGTAAAATACATCAAATAGGTCAAAAATCAACTAAAATTGAAACCACCACAAAAGATCAAACAAAATCCAAAATACAGAAATAATAATCAATTAAAAAACGAAATCAAAGAAGCAAAAATTTGTGTAAAATACATCAACAGATCAAAAAATCAACTAAAATTGAAACCACCACAAAAGATCATCATCAAACAAAAACCAAAATACAAAAATAATAATCAATTAAAAAACGAAATCAAAGAAGAAGAGACCTACAAGTAGTCTCGGAAAATTTGGGATCATAATCCTTTTAATCTAAATCTTCAATTCATTTTTATAACAATCAATCGATTTATCAACCCAACATAAAATGAGTATCATCTAACAGCATAAACCCATAAAACGCTTCTAAACCATGATAATAGAACTTAAATCGCTCTTTCAAGTTCGAGAACTGGAAACGCTTCATCAAACCTCACAAACTGCAATAAATCGCTTCAACACTCATCACCAAATCAAAACTTGATTCCCCTACAACCACTCATATCTCAAACGATTTCAACGCTCCGAACAGGAGGGTTTATCCGGGGAATTAAAGGAGAGGAAATCAGTTTAAGAGGAAAGAGAGGAAATAGAAGAAGAGGAAAAGGAAGATGAAGGAGATCAGATGGAGATTGATTGTTGGAGGCGGAAGTGGCGGAACGAAGAATAGTGAAGTGTAAGGGTTTCATTTATTTTATTTTGGTGAGTAAGGGAGACCGGTTAAGTTGCAACAGGTTTCTCCCTTTTTATTTTCTTTTTTTTGAAAAAAATTAAGAGAGACTGGTTAAGTTGCATACTGGTCTCTCCCTTTTTAATTTTCAAATAAAAAAAACTTAAGAGAGACGGGTTAAGTTGCATACAGGTCTCTCCCCTATTAATTTTCAAATAAAAAGAACTACGATAGACCGATTATCTATGATAAATGGTCTCCATTAAATTTTCACCTCATAACACAATATCAAAGAGACTGGTTATCTATGACATTGGGTCTCTTGAAACAAAGAGACCGGTTATTTAATTAACGGGTCTCTTATTTCGGGTCTCTATGAGCATTTTTGTAGTAGTGGCTATATGCGACTCCACCACGGTGTAATCGCATGCTATATGCGACTATGCCGTGGTGGAGTCGAACGTGACTATGCGATAATAAAAAAAAAACTTACCGACGAATTGACCGGCGTTTTCCCCACATTCCCCAGCAAACGAACCCCCTTCCCACGCCGTGATTCCATTGTCGTCAGCCTCTTCCTTTTTCCGGTTGATTTGGTATGATAAGTGGTTGATTTGGTGTGATAGATAGTGAGAAAATTGGATGATTCCGGCGACCTTAGGGTGGTGGTGGTGATGGTGTTTAGGGTGATGGTGATTTCGGCGACCTTAGGGTGGTGGTGGTGATGGTGTTTAGGGTGATGGTGGTGGAAGGAGTATGGTTGGTGAAAAAAATTGAATGATGTCAAACATGGAATTTATAAGGGTAGATGAGTCATTTAATACCGTGCCCTAAGTAATTCTATTGTGGCATTTAGTAACCCCCAAAAAAAAACGAGTAGGTATATTAATTACTTAAGAAACTAGCAGCTACACTGTGCTAGACTAAAATGGGTATTGATAGATTAGTGTACTCCATTTTTTTTATTTGATGCAGCATCAATATACAATAAAATCTTTGTTGTTGCTGAGCTTGCTTCAACTAAATTAAATTTTGT